GGAAAGTATCCTCGGTACCACGCTATTTTTTGTTTACATTGATTCCCGATGTAGGCTCCCTTTTTTGTATGATAGAGTGTTTACATACGCTGTTGACACTGCCTCGATATTCCATGCGAATACATGGCCTGAAGTTTATCGTTATGCTCAGTCGAGTTTTGATTTAGTGTCTGAATGGTTAAAGTCCAACGTTCTTACTCTAAACATTGAAAAGGGGGTAAATAAGCTGGTGAATACAGGTACATAGGACTTGTCAACTTTGTGTCTCAAGGTGACGGGCGAAGTGGTCTTCAGATCTTTATTATTTAAAGCCCTGAGTGACACTGCAACTGTTATGAGTAGGCGTGATGCTTATCACTAGGCACACGATTTTATCGTCCCGTCACTTTTTAATCGTAACAAAGCCAACGGGAAACCCTGGGATGCTATACATACGCATTAAAGATCGAGGCGTAAATGCTTGAAAAAATCACAATTGTAATAGCCTGAACAGGTGTGATAAACATTAAATAGAATTCATACACTTTATGCTTAATGCTAGAACAATTTCATTTGCCCAACCAAGCGTCTTTATCTTATATCATAAAATGTTCCTAGGTAACGGGTGTTATTTATATTTTAAAATCTTGTTTACGATTGCTTATTGTACTGACGGTTATTTATTTGCAAATTGAAACACGATTACAGTAAGACCAATTCTGAGTACCTAATGTATGTTGTAGAGGTCGTACATTATTCCTACCTCGACACACAGACTGCCTTTCGACTACCAGTTCTTTCGATTTTTCTTCTTCTTCTTCCTGTCCTTATCCCAAACTAGGTGGGGTCGGTACATATCTTTCTTCCACTCTTCCCTATCAGCCGTCTTTTCCATACTCACACTTTTCGTATTCTCTTTCATATAATCTATTCATTATTTCTTCGAGTCTTTCGATTTTTATTACTTTACAAAATTTTGACACTGTGTCTCTTATAGCGTGTCATCTTGTCAATAAAATTCCTTTTCACTAGTTTATAGTATCTCAATTTCACTCATAAATACAGTTTGGAGGAGAACAACTCATTTCCTCAGGAACAGCCAGTTCCTTCGATACCAAAACTGCCTAAATAAGTCTAGAAGAGTCTAGGCATCGAAGAGTCGGCCTCTACGGTGCCTACCAGTTGTCTGTAGTACGACCTAGTTAAATCCCAAAAACCACTTAATCCGATAGCATAATCTCTAATAACATTTATTGGTTTCATACTTACATTGAAAAGTATACTCTCTCTTTTTCTTAAGATTTTTAAATCCTACCTCTAGACATAGGCGACAAATAATGATAATGCACGCTAGCACCACCAGCGGAACAACCAGCGAGTGTGACACTGTCAGGATTGCCTCCAAACATGAGAATATTGTTCCGCACCCAGCGCAGTGCCATCGTCTGGTCTTTCAGTCCAGCGTTACCGGGGACGACCTCATCACCTGTACTTAGGAATCCTGCAAGAATTTGTTAATGATAATGGAATAATCGTTTTTCTATGCACATTGTTAGTGGACAATGGTAATGCTTGAAATATGTTTAGATGCAAATAAAATCTTGGAAACCCTATTGGCCAAGCAAGGAGAATTACACTAGTGGGAGCTTAGTTATAGTTGAGCTCCTTGTGAATGAGATCGTCCAGGGAAGTACAATCACCTTATCTATTTCTGTCGCCAAGTAGAACTGCGTTCCGGTTAGAAGAGTAAGGATGCTGGGGAAATTACAGGCACCTTGGACTTGTCAACTTATGTCTCAGGGTGACCCTATTGCCCCTCATTGGCACTGCAACTGCTATGGACAGGCATGTCGCTTCACCAGGCACACGACATATTCGCCCCGTCACTTGGTATAATAATAATAAGAAAGACACATTTAGTTTTGTATGCACCGTATTAGTTTCATTAATCGCTGAACAGTAAAATAAAACATGGTGCGCCAAAATCTTTTGGAGAAGTGTCACAGAATTGGTAAATATTTTGTTATTATTAAGTAAGTACTGACGCTATATTGAGGCAGCTTGGTTGGCTACATACCAGGGTTGAAGCGAATATCAGCATTCGCATTCCTCAATGCGGATATTCATTGCGGACGTTCGAGTCGTAAGGCACGCTGGAATAATTTACAAACCTTCCAGAAACAGACTGTAAGCCGAAAAAGCAGCTCATTTTTAGAATATAAATTTGATAAAATTCCACAACGATTAAGCTAGGAAGATTGATTGATTTAATGTACGAGTAGATTGATTCTTTTGTTAATGTCACAAAATTATTGAAGTAATATTTTACTACAACACCAAAGAAAGTAGAAAGTCTTTTTATGTTGATAGATTCAGTAACGATGTAGGTAAATGTACATTTTCGCGTTTTTTTTTAAATACTTCAAAATAGCACTTACGTCAAACCCCGCTGATGTGTAAAATACCTGCATTACAATTAGCAACAACCCTGGTACATACCATATGGCTTTGAATTTTTCATCAATTGAGCTAGACAGAAATTCGTGTCCACATTGAAGTAAACCTACTCACCCAGAGGTCCCAACCGATAGTTGAATGTGACAACAACAAGATCTTTATCCATAAGATGGCCAGGATCGTAGAAGGAACCTGAGCCATGCATAAATGTTCCTCCATGGATGAACACCACAACAGGGAGCATAGCTCCTATGTACGGCTTCGGAGAGTATACGTTTAGATGAAGACAGTCTTCGCGACCTGGGTAAGGAGAAGATAATAATAGTATGTAGTTTCATACGTTACGTTATCTATACTATGCGGTAATTTTCCACAAATCTACAAATTTAAAGTCGTTCAGCGTACGATGGAGCGAGTTATGCTTGGGGTTTCTCTGATGAACCTAATTCCTAATCAAGTCATAAGCAGAGAACTAAATTTGGGGATATCCTTAAAAAGGTCGGGTTAAAAGAAGCTAGTATAAACGGCTACATGCTATGACGAGACTGATGCGAGCGGAGAAGGCGAAGGAAGTTTTTCAAGAGTGTAGCGAGTTGTGGTTGGTGATCTCTGCCAGTGGCGCGGCGTCTATGTAAGTGGATTCCCATAGACTTGATTATAATTTTCCACGTATGACTTAACGACTGCAGTAGACCAATGAAATGAAGTGAACTAGTATTTAGTGTGCTAATAAGTGTTGTATTTAAATGTCGCAAAGGTTCATTTTTAACTGGAAAAGATGTTTTTGAAAGTGTTTTTTGTTTACTTCTGCATAACCTACTAAGGAAAATCTTCAAGTCTCGCCACTGGTATCTGCCTGTCAAATGCCAATGCAAACAAGTTTTAATACGTGGAACCTCTTCAGAAAGCGATCGAAATATTTGCGTTTCCATATTTTGTTCGTGAATAACGAACAATTTATTGTAATCGCTCTCTCAAAGTCCCCTTTGTAACAATTGTGCATGGAAACTATTGTTAAACGTCTACCTACTTCATAACATCATCTTTAGTATATAGCAAATTAATCGAAAAGTAGATATTAGTTTTGTATCTGCTTTTGACGTTGACGGGCATCTGCCTGTCAATGTCAAAAAGCATCTGCTTTAAAGTTAGATTAGGTATACTGTGATCCCTTACCGCAACTTAAGGCCCAAACTTATATTGCGAATGGAAGCAAAACTGTACATATTATTATTATAATAAACTTTATAGAGGCTAAGATAACATTATTCAAAGTTTACTGCCAAACGTTCTACATGTGAGTCCTGTGGAGCAGATATTTTAAAAACTTTCTTTGGACTCTTTCCGTGTACAGTCGATGCTCTAAGTTACCTAACCCCTAGGCGACCTTTTGGTTCTGAGAGCCTTCTTACGCATTCAACAGAAAAGAGCGCAGGAATTCCAGCTTTTGGTTGAAATTTGTATTTATGTAATGTAGTTGAAGATCAAGTTGGCTTAAAAAGTTTCTTAAACGTCATTCAATAAGGAAGTCATACCAAAATGAATTTTACGGCTTACATGTTAAATGTTAGTTTGTTTAACTTATTCGCTTGTGCTCTTGCCGATTGATGTGCTGTTACAGATATCTTTCTCATACATTTAATTATTTATTCTCAAACGTTTATAAACTTTCCTTCTATAGGCTATTAAATAAATGTAAAAATAATGATAATGACGTCAATAAACGTTGTACTTATCCGCGATGATGAGTGTGTGCGTGTGCGTCTTTATGCCGCTTGTATGGCAGCGATCATTGGTAGGTATGTAGTATGTTGTAGCAGCAACAAACGAAATAGCGTTCTCTTACGTTCTTCGATGAAATAAAAGAATTTAAACGATGTAATACTACGTTTTACACTTACAAATGTTTAGGATGGCATATTATTATTTATGTCAATTGTGTAACAGAAAGATGCATCGTCTTTCTGTTGGTAGCTACGGGAATTCGTCCCAACGGGGTTCGTCCAGGGAAGTACTGCCCCACCTTGCCTATTTCTACCGTCAAGCAGTAATGTGAGCATTACTGCGTTCTGGTTTTGAAGGGTAAGGGAGCTTGTGAAATTATAGCCACATGGGACTTGTCAACTTAAAGACTGATGGGCGCAGTGGCAGTGTCCTTCAGATCTTTGCGACTAAAAGCTCTGAGTGGCACTGCAACTGTTATGGATAGGCGTGTAGCTTACCAACAGGCGCACGACTTGTTCTTCCCGTCATTTTGTATTATAAAAGAATTCCCTGGAAGAAAAATCTTCTGCTATATCTAATTTGACCGTTACATACTTGACACCTATAAACTTCATTATTCAAATGTTCAAATTCGCATCCATTCCGTTCCGTAGCTATGTAAATACAGTTTTAATGTCTTGGATTTCATCGAATTAAAGAATTTATGAGGTGTTGCTGTTCTTACCGATAACTTTTTTTTCGAAGGCATCGCGCTGTAGGCAAGGTTGTAAAGGTCGAGAAGCATCCCATACACCTGGCCATGGTGCTGGGGGTTGAGGTTCCTACAACATTTATTACTTGATTTTTTGAGTGAGGTAGTGACTACACAATACAAATAATGACTGGTTGGCTGAGTGCGTTCTTAAGCCGGATACTCATTAGCGATCTATAACTGTAACGTGACAGATACAGTAACGAGTTTCTAGCGTGAAACAGTCTTTACTCGCTAGAATGAGTGCCTAATTACCGTCGACTCACAGCGAATTGCGCGCGTTCCTCTTGCGCTCCAAGCTCATTAACCACGTACCCACACACTATGATTTTTGGTGAGTTCATGCGACGGTTAGAGCGCCAAGGGTGCTGGTCAAATTACAGGCACATGAGACTTGTCTACTTATGTCTCAGGGTGACAGGCGCAGTTGCAATGCCCCTGAGATCTTTGCAATTTAAAGTTCTGAGTGGCACTGCAACTGTTATGGACAGGCGTGTAGCTTACCATCAGGCGCACCACTTGTTTACATATTATAAAAAAAGCTCGCTAGTGAGTACTTGGCTTTAGAATTGCAACTCTTAGGGTCGTATTCCAGAACTCTACTCAATGCTCAAGTCAGGATTTGAGTATGGTTTAAACCACTCGAAATCATATTCAAGTCCCTGCCCTAATGGTCGTATTTCCAGTGCTTGTGTTTCAATTGTAATCCTGACTTGAGCATTGAATAGAGTTCTAGAATACGACCCTTAGAATGCTTGAATACTATTTCCTTTATTTTTTTATGTAGGCAGCAAACAAGCATACGGCGCGCCTGATGGAACGTCACCGTCGCCTATGAACGCCTGCAACACCAGAGGCGTGACGAGCGCGTACCCATTTTGAAGGACTCCATGCTGTATTCCTGCGGGAAAACCCCGACAGTAATAATAATTACATCTATATGACATAGATGTATTTATTATTGTGCGTTGTCTAACAATACAACATACGAAGGGATGTTCAATGTATAACTACAATGTACTATCTTTCTTTTTGTGAGAGTGAATAAATAAAATATTATTATATCTATTTTGGACTTTCGCCTATTATTATTATTATTATTATTATATGGCATAAAGTTTCTAATGGACTGTCTGACGGACTGTGCATAGTCAACTATAATTGAAAATCTTACAACAAATAATATATCACAAAATAGGCTTCTGTACAGGATGTGTGGGTTTATTACAAGGAAATATGTACTAATTATTGTGATATATTTAACCGCGGTGTCCCTGCTTTGCTTGCATTGTTGTAAGACTTGTAAGGTGAATAACGTATTATTTTTGTTTTTTTTTTCTATTCTGATAAATACTTTAGCGTCTAAACAGACGCTAAAGTCTTGGTTTGACAGTCAACCGTGACCATGGGACCTGCAAAGGGCCCGAAACCTTGCTTTGTTTGAAAAAACAAATATACGCGATTTAAATCAGGAAAAATAGTTTCAGAACTAAAACAACTTATCTTCTCATATTATCGACGGCATACACTATAATGGTTGCCATCGTGGTGAAAGGACTTTCCAGTCGGCGTAAGGTGTATGCTGATTGATGCCCAAAGTGCGCCTGACGTACAGGAAAGGTATGGTACGTCATGTGGGGAGATTTCCTTTCGTTTACGATAAGAAGACTAAAACAACTGGAAACTAGAAATTTGAGAAACCTATCGGAAACTAACAATTATTTTAACAGAGAAATGGTTTTGGATGTAATAGTATGAATGGAATTATTACTTACCCTGAATCTAAATTTTGCCAAAGGTGGTCTGGCGTACGGGATACCCTGAAAACTTCCATAAGTCCTTCCTTTGGTAGAAATTTTACAAGTTCCTTTCAAGACGCCATGTAAAATCCTGACTCTCGGTTCTTTAACCTGATGCGCCGTCACGAGTGCAGTGATCGCGATTATAAATAATTTTAATAGTAGCATTTTAAACCTAGATTTCAGGCGGAAAAGCGGTGCGTACACTGCCGCAGACGCTGCGATTTAAACTGATCCGAGATTTATACATTTCCTATATTAGTCAGATAATGTTTACGCTGATTTATCGGTCTTAGGTTAAGCGTATAAATGGCAAATAATATATTTTTTACGATGCTAAGTGGCAAGACTAACAAAATAAGTAATCGACACGCCTACCCAAACAGTTACAGTGCCACTTAGAGCTTTAAATCGCAAAGATCTGAGGGGCACTACCAATACGTACTACTTTTTAGTAGTAGTAGAGCTCCATGTGAAAGAGTTCGTCTAGGGAAGTACTGCCACCTTAACTGTTTCTGCCGCCAAGCAGTAATGCCAGCATTCCTGAGTTCCGGTTTGGAAGGGTAAGGGTGCTGGTGAAATGACAATCACGTGGACTTGTCAACTTATGTCTCAGGGTGACGGGTGCAGTGGCAGTGCCCCTAAGATCTTTGCAATTTAAAGCTCTGAATGGCACTGCAACTGTTAGGGAAAGGCGTGTCGCTTACCACCCGGCGCACGATTTGTTACTTTTGTCACTTAATATTATATTTTTTTAAAAGTAGGCCATATAAAATTTCTCACGGTCCGGGAATCGAATCCGCGACCTCTACGTAGCAGTCCAGGGTGGAGTCCGTTCGACCACGGAGACAATAATGTCTGTCACTATTTAAAAAAAACTATTCTCCTTAAAACAAATTAATTTTTCATAAATGTGTCTTGAGACCGATGTAAGAATGTTAGTTTCGTTAAACTGTAATGTATAAATTGCCCTAACTTTGAGATTGGTGGACAATCGCGCAATCTCGAAACACGAAATCCGTAGTTACTACAATAATAATTTCATAAACCATATCACAAAGGCGCATGACGCTACTCAAACGATCTGCTGATTAGTTAAATGGCGTAAAGGTCTTGCAACCGGGCCATAAACATTTTTGGTTTTTGTTTTGAAATGTTTGTTTGGCTTAAAATTTTAAATCTTAAAATTTTTAAACGTAGACAAAATATGGTATGCAATCATTACATACCATCGAGTATATAACCAGAAATAGAGACTTGGGCTTTGCTATAATGGACGAAAATTTAAAAATTACATATTTAATATTTAATTACCAATGAAATGTGATTCCGTTTGTTTTGTAATTAGATGTTTTGCTGTTTTTACCACACCACCGAATGAAACAACTCCCCCTATGCTAGAGATAATAACTTTATTACAATAAATACAGAATATTTTTGGAATATACGGAGACGTACACACAGTTCAGAGTCGGGACTTCTCCCGGCCCAGGAATTTATTCCTCCTGTGAGTTTTGGTGTAATTTGAGGTTGTCTATATGTCCATAGTATGGTACCCGCGATACAAGGTCTCTCTGGTGCGGGACTATAAGTGTGAGCGTATAAAAAAAATTTTTGGGTTTTTAATTTTTTTTTATATTAGTACCATTAATTAGGTTAGTAGTGTGTGACCTACTTATCAACAACGGTCTGGAGGGTCGCAATGTGAAATTTTATCTTAATTTTAGTAATTTTTTACACGTCTGTGTCGTCTACTATGTTCCGTGGTATGTGTTACCTGTTGCCGGATCCACTGAAAATCAGCGTCGCAGCACATGCATTGAGAGGCCACCAAGCTGAGTGGATGACAGATTCCGTAATAGCACAGCATGCACACTTTATGGCTTATCGCTTGATTATTTATTGCCGTAGTTATTTGCTTCCTGTTTGTGTTTTATTTTTAATAATAATAATAACGTACACACTCAACATTGCCCCACACTAAGGAAACCCTGACTCGCGGGTGCCATGGACGGACACACACATAGACAACCACAAATTACACCCAAACTCACGATGTTATAATTATGTTTCGTAACTGTTAAATGTATGTGTACTGCGTTGTTTCTTTATGGAATAAATATTTCTTTCTCTCTTTCTTTTTATTTGAATGTCCCTGGGCATGATGAAATGGCTGCTTGTTTAGAGAGAAATAAATTCGAAGCTGCTACTTTTGGGGCTGATTCCTTAACTCTTCAACCTGTATCGGAACTGAACATCTCGAAATACATCGTGTGTGTTAAGTCTAATGTAATGGGGTGTGACAATATCAGCCGTGACATGATTATATTAACGTTACCAACAACATTATCGATAATCACTACGATTGTGAACAAATCCATTCTGACAGGTAGGGTTTCTAGGCCGTGGAAGGAAGCACTGGTCACTCCACTACCTAAAATTGACAATCCCAGTGAAGTAAAAGATATTAGGCCTATTAGTGTACTACCTTATCTTTCCAAAATTCTGGAAAAGGCAGAGGCTGATGATATGCATCAGCTTTTATGTCATGTAGATAAGAATAATATCCTCACTTCTCTTCAGTTGGGTTTCCGAAGGGGTCGTGCATGGTTACTGCTTTGCTGGACTTAACGGACAATATACTAACGGCACAGGACGCTGCTGTGGTATAATTCTTTCTCTTTTCGACTTCTCTCAAGCTTTTGACAGCATTTGCGTTCCTCTTTTGCTTTCAAAATTAGTCTATTACGGACTGGACCTACAGGCGATACAGTGGTTCGGTGATTATCTTAGAGTCGTATTCTAGAACTCTACTCAATGCTCAAGTCAGGATTGCACTGGAAACACAAGCACTGGAAATACGACCCTAATGGTAGGGACTTGAGTATGATTTCGAGTGCTTTAAACCATACTCAAATCCTGACTTGAGCATTGAGTAGAGTTCTAGAATACGACCCTTAGTGACCGACACCAGTCTGTGAGACTCAAAAAAACGCGACGGCATTGGCATGGTCTCCGATTTGCAACCTGTTCTTCTCGGGTCCTCTTTTATTTATTATATACAGTGCTGGTTTGATCCAAGTAATAAAACATAGTAAATTCCATATATACGCTGACGGTCTTCAGTTATATATCTTTGAAGTGCCAGAGAGAATATCAGATGCGTTACACCTGCTCAACGAAGACCTAAGCGCGATGAATGGTCAGTCAGGAATGCGCTTGTACTAAACCCTAATAAGTCCAAGTTTATGGTGCTTGGATCAAAGGTTCAGATTAAGTACATTTTAAATAAATCACCAGTAGTTAGTATTCTAGGTCAAAATATTTCCCTGGTTTACGAAGTTAGAAATCTAGGTGTTCTGTTAGACAGCGAACTACGTTTCGAAAGACACTTAGAGAATCTTGTAAGGAGTTGTTTCTATAGATTGAAAGTCTTGTATAAAATTAGAAACTTATTATCCGAGAGAGTGAGGATTACTGTATGCGAGTCACAGGTGTTATCTCGTCTCTATTACGTGGATCTTGTTTATGGCCTTCGACTGTTATACAAAACATGTAGCTTAATACAACGCGTGCAGAATGCATGTTGTAGATTTATTTTTGATGTTCCGTCTAAGAGTCATATCACGCCTTTTCTAAACAATGCCTGTAAACTCTATATGGAATCTCGCAGACAGTTACATCTCACCTCTTTAATGTTTGATATTGTTAAATTCAAAAATTCCGAATATCTTTTTTCAAATTTACAATTTCCCCATTTTTATAAACTACACGACCATAAGCCCAGATCATTACGCGCCCCGCTAAGCGTACATCGAACAGCAGCGTTCACCGACAGTTTTCCCTACCACGCAACAAAGTGCTGGAATAATATCCCACCACCTTTAAGAATTCTAAAATCTAAATGCACTTTCAAGGAAAAGGTAAAGCCATTTCTTCTGGACTCTCAAAAAAAGGGTATTCCACAGCGCTTTGCCTAGGTAGCGAAAATTGCCTACTTAACAAAAATTGACGGGTGTCGTCAATGGGTGCCGTCAATTTTTTCGCTTCAAATCGACCAGTTAATAGCTATAATGGACGAAAATTGCAAAATTACATATTTAATATTTAATTACCGATGAAATTTGATTCCGTTTGCTGTTTTTCCCCACACCACCGAATGGAACAGCACGCCATTGTTAGAGACATTATTACAATAAACACAGATTTTTTTTTATTTTAATATACGGAGACGTACACAGGTCAGTTGTTGACGCTGTCTATATTTCAGTGCGAACGAGAGTTGATATTTATAAGTGATGAGTTACCACGAATGTATGACCCTTATTTCGTCTCTATTTCTAGTTATATACTCTATGACCTCCACCTACGATTAAGATTTGTGCCTGCCAGAGTGAGAGACTGGGTTCGATGATACAGTCTTTAAGTAGTTTTGAAGTTCTTCAGTGTTTATAAAAATTTCGTCCTCGTTGTTGTGGTGTTTCGATCGAACTACTATTGGTTTTAAATGCGGTGACAAGTTAGTAAACAAGGATGCAGGCGGTACTGAAGCTTCTGTAACGTTACAATCGCGTAATGGTTCTTAATAAATGATCCCCTATATATGCTGTTTCTAAATTGATACATATTAAAAGACAAACCAATTGAAAACTTGGCTTTATTCATCTTTAAAATCGCACTTGACACAACGTAATAACAATCCATGGCAAGAAGCCATAGAGTTGCACATCAGTATTCAAGTATTAATCCCTAACACAGTCCGGGTAATTCTCATTCTCAATGAAACCCAGGCT